CAAACTGAACCTTTCCAAAACCGAGCTCCTAATCTTCCCCCCAGCCCGTGCCCCCCCACCCTCTCCATGATGACCAACAACGCCACCCTCAGTCCCACCCTGCAAGCCAAAGTCCTAGGTGTCACTCTAGACTTAAACCTGTCCTTCCAACCCCATGTCCAATCGTTGGCAAACTCATGCAGACTCCACCTCCGCTACATCTCCAAAATACGTACGTTCCTAACCCCAGACGCTACTAAACAACGCGTTCACTCCCAAATTATTTCATGTTTGGACTACTGCAACTCCCTTCTCACCAGCCTACCCCAACACAGGCTATCCCCGCTTCAGTCTATCCTGAACTCAGCGGCCAGACTCATCCACCTTACCAACTGCTCCTCTTCTGCACCCCCCTCTGTTATTCCCCCCACTGGCTCCCGATCGCCCAACGCATTAAATTCAAACTAATAACACTGACATACAAAGCCATTCACAAGGCTGCCCCAAACTACCTCACCGACCTGATACCCAAATACCACCCTACCCGTAATCTTCGCTCCTCACAAGACCTCCTACTTTCTAGCTCCCTGGTCTCCACCTCCCATGCCCGACTGCAGGACTTCTCCAGGACTTCCCCCATCCTCTGGAACTCCCTACCCCAATCCATCAGACTGTCACCTACCCTCCTCACCTTTAGGTGCACCCTGAAAACCCATCTCTTCAGGGAAGCCTACCCCACCCTCACCGAACAGCTGATCTCCTCCACTCCTCCTACCACTCCATCCCCCACAGCCACTTCCTCCTGTACCACTTTCCCCTCCCTCCTAGATTGTAAGCTCGAAAGAGCAGGGCCCTTGAACCCCTCGTGTATTGTTTTGTTACTGTATTGTCTCATGTTCTGTCCCCCACTATAATGTACAGCACTGAGCAAACCTTTGGTGCTATATAAATACTGTATAATAATAATAATCTTATCATTTTGAGATCATCCTTGTCTGGTAAAAGGTGTGCCATTTGAGAAGCACCTTCGAGTACTGGAGCACTTGATGTGGAACTTTCAGAAGAGCACTATAGACTTTATCTTAATTTATGAATAAATACACACAATATGTGTTCAGCACATTTATTGTTGTTTTTATAGGATTGCTTGTTAATCACTAAGCTTCTATGAGACAGTGCATCTGTTTTTTTTTTATTACAATAGGCTCAGTGGACTAGCAATTCTAAAATTAGGATGGAATCATTGACTGTTTGGGGGGGGGGGGGGGGGGTGAAAGGCATTTGGTGCCAGTCACTTTAGTATGTTTAGGAGAGTTTATTTAAGCATAATACATTCAGGAAAGAGTGTTAGGGAACAGAATACAAAAGATAGGCAAAAATTGATCCAGATTTATCTTCTAGCAACAATGAATAAAGCCAATGGACTTATAAACCAAGACTGACAATCTGTATAGATAGACTGTTAAACACAACCAGGTAACATAAGTACATTCTAGACTCTTTACAAATATAAAGTAAAATGTTACCTTTTCAAAAGCCTAATGTATGCCAATTTATGCCAAGATGCACTTACAGGTTTGCAGGCTACCCATTTGCTTTGTTAGACTACAAGATGGTGTATTGTTGAAGCACAGCTGTGCGGGAAAGGTGTGACTGAAGGTTATGGTGTCCATCCTTGACTTTGCCCTACAAATAGGGATCTCATCCAAGAAATCACTTTGAAACCTGTGGTGCAGCAAGAAAGGAAAGAAACATGGGGAATATTTACACAACCAGATGGCCTGAATATGATCACAAACCACATACAGTATAATTACAATTGTTTTAGATACATAATCAAAAAATAATCACAGTTGCATATTATAGATTATTTTGGATGAATATTTTTCACTGCTATGTTCCAATAACAAACAATAAGCATAGGTTCTTAGATGTTTACAACCACACTTAAAGGCTAAGTTCAGGAGGATAAGACAGGAAGGCGCTTCTAAGTGCAGTATATCCAGATTGATTTTAATAACAACAGTTAGAAACACAGTGTAGCAGTAAAAACAGGCTCTGCATGATCTGTCAGGATGCGGGGGCTCTGTCCACCATGCGAGAACCCGCTGTGCTGACCAGCAGCTGCAGAGTGAGCTGAGGATGGGATGACAAAGATGGCCACCGCTAGTTCCGGGGTCGCTAGAACGCATGCTGGAGCACACTCTGTCCAGGGGACTGCAAACTGAACATGACTTGGGAGTGGAACGGTGATGCGTTTCGGAGCATGCACAGAGGTTCTTCTTCAAGACTGATGCCAAAAGCTGGGAAGAGCCCAATAAATAGGAAGGAGGGGCGAGGAAGGGGTGGCCTGAGGGGACGAGAGTAGATGCCCCGGGCTTGTGAATAAACTACGAGGGGGCTCATCAGTCCCTCCCCTCCCCTCCCCCCACAGTTCATCAAGAACTACAAGCCATTTTCTGCGGTAGAAAACAGGACTTGTAGTTTTCTTATTCAAAGATTGCTTCAAATAAATGAATGGGGCGGCTGTGTGGGTGGGGCCCCACACAGCCCTGCCAATTTTGAAATGTGACAGCAGATACGGGTAGAGGATCCCTCACCAGCTGTTACAGGGGGATGGAGGGGGTGCTCAGGTGGTGTGGGGGCGCTTGGAGCATGTTACATGTTATACCCTAACTACGAGTGTAACATGAAACATACTCCAAAGGTGAACTTATCCTTTAGGAATGGTCTTGAATTATGCAATTCCATTGCAAATATCATAGCATGGAAGGTATCATCAAAAAGCACTGAAGAATCCTTAAATAAGATCCAAAATTGTGAGATGTTCTACCAGATAATCCAACATTTACCTATAGAAGGGCTCCTAGTGTGAGAAATAAAATTTCCCCAACCCAATTAAAACCAAAGATTCAAAATAAACCCAAAATAGGCAACTTCAGTTTCTTTTTTATTAAAGGTATGTATCAGTATAAATAAAGACTTTGTGAAATGTGTCCATTTGTGACACATAAACAAAAATCCTTTTTAAAAGAACAAGAATAATTGTATTCAGAAGGGAGTGCAATGGCACCACATCCCTAATATTGGAAAATATGCCAATAGCAGACAAGAGAAAAATAGGAGGAAAGAAAAAGATGAGGAGAAAAAAACTCCTCACATAGAAAGAAAAATCATGGGATAATAAGGTGCAAAAAAAAAAAATATGTAATAGAACAATAAGAGATAAATTATTACAATATTTATTGGCAAATCAATTTAAAATACATTCAAGTATATAAAAAAATCATGATAATACTTATTCGGAAATGTATATCCGGTGAAATATTTCAACAGTTTTCGCCTTTTCAGGCTTTTTCAGGAGATATCAAATATAACACCTACAATAATTAATTTGACAATTATACAGTGTGATAATAAAGTTGAATACCATAAGTATATAAATCCAAGAAGAAGCAAATGTAAGAAACAGTACAAATCCCATCACATAAACATTAAACAAATTAAAAGTTAATGAAGGGCAACTCACTAAATAGTTCATACTGGATCAAATAAGCAAATAGTATATGGGGTGATTGAAATGCAATTAAATAGAACATAAAATCCTCAGACAAGCCCAAACAGGTTGACGCATCAGATGATTGGTGGAGGGGCCCAAACAGGCTAAACATAAAAATAGAAAAACATCAACCACCTGTATCAATTTTCTAAAAGTACCAAAAAAACTTAAATAGTCAAGAATGTACCTATTGAGAAGTTGAAGTAACCACCACTTTTTGAGTACTCAGTATATCAGCAATTACCATCATATTTGATTGTATTGCACCAGAAATGACCAAAAAACTTCTTGGTTCAATTTGGGCACTAAAATAAAATAAGATATGAGATATATTGCAAAAAGGGAACCAATACTATACTCGATGATCGATTAAACAAACAATAAATGTAGGTATGGCGGGATATTAATAATGAGCTTACCTCCATCCAAATACTATTGAATCAAGAAGGACAGAGGTGGTACGCACCAAAAGGTGAAAATACACAGAATCATTCCTCAGGTAAGTAAGCAAATACTGCTGAATAAAATGACACAAAATTGAATAAATACTGGCAGACCAAATTAGTATACACACGAGCTACAAGCTTCAAAGTGAATAAAAAAGGTCTTACTAAAAGAGCACCAACACCGCAACACCACCTCTTCTGATATACTTGAATGTATTTTAAATTGATTTGACAATAACTATTGTAATAATTTAGCTCTTATTGTTCTATTACATCATTTTTTTTGCACCTTTAAAATCCCATTAAAAATCCTTTTTAGATATTAGAGGGAAGCTTCATGAGCTCCAGGAATATTTTAATTCCTCCACAGAATTTGTCATTTATTGTTTAACATGTCCCTGTGGCCTTCTTTATATAGGTCACACCATTAGAATGGTTATGAAAATTTTTGGACAGCATAGAAGATTCATTGAGGCATGAGATGTAGAACATAGTATTCCAAGGCATTTTTATGCTCAAACACAATAAAAACACCAGTGGTCTTAGAATCTGGACCATATACTGTAAGCCATCCCCAAGGAAGCATCTTTTGCTGAAAGATTTCAAATGTTGTGTAACAGGGATACCTTTTGGATTTTCACATTGGATACTTTGACCACAAAAGGATTAAATTAAGTATTGGGAGTCCATACTGATTTGTAGACACTGTATTGAACCAACAGTATCATCTGTTAATTTTTAATAATAGTGTAATATTACATACTCTGATCCCCCAGATAGATGTTTTTAAACTTACGTATTGTGGTATATATCAGTGGTCAGTGGTTCTACAATATCACATATATAATGTATAAATCAAGATCATATATAGTAGAGGTCAAGTAAATAATTTATCAATTTATTTGTGTGTAAATACACTATATTGCCAAAAATATTGGGATACCCCTCCAAATCATTGGATTCAGGTGTTACAATCACCTCCATGGCCACAGGTGTATAAAATCAAGTACCTAGGCATGCAGTCTGCTTCTACAAAGATTTGTGAAAGAATGGGTCGCTCTCAGGAGCTCAGTGAATTTAAGCGTGGTACCATGATAGGTTGCCACCTGTGCAATAAGTCTATCCGTGAAATTTCCTTGCTACTATATATTCCACGGTCAACTGTTAGTCGTTTCATAACAAAGTGGAAGCAACTGGGAACAACAGCAGCTCAGCCACGTAGTGGTAGGCCACGTATAATGACAGAGTGGGGTCAGTGCATGCTGAAGCGCACAGTGTGCAGAAATCATCAACTATCTGCAGAGTCAATAGCTAAAGACCTCCAAACTTTGTGTGGCCTTCAGATTAGCACAACAACAGTGTGTGAAGAACTTCATGGAATGGGCTTCCATGGCCAAGCAACTGTACTCAAGCCTTACATCTCAAAGTGTAATGCAAAACATTGGACGCAGTGGTGTAAAGGATGCTGCCACTGGATTCTAGAGCAATGGAGAAGTGTTCTCTGGAGTGAGGACTCACACTTTTCTGTTTGGTAATCTGATGGATGTGTCTGGGTTTGGTAGTTGCCAGGGTATTGGTACGTGCCTGACTGCATTGTGCCAAGTGTAAAGTTTGATGGAGGAGGGATTATGGTGTGGGGTTGTTTTTCAGTGGTTGGGCTTGGCCCCTTATTTCCATTGAAGGGAACTCTTAATGTGTCAGCATACCAAGACATTTTGGACAATTTCATGCTCTCAACTTTGTGGGAACAGTTTGGGGGTGGCCCCTTCGTGTTCCAACACGATTGCGCACCAGTGCACAAAACAAGGTCCAAAAAGACATGGATGAGCGAGATTGGGGTAGAGAAACTTGACTGGCCTGCACAGAGTCCTGACCTCAACCCGATAGAACACCTTTGGGATGAATTAGAGCGAAGACTGCAAGCCAGGCCTTCTCATCCGACATCAGTGTCTGACTTCACAAATGCGCTTTTGGAAGAATGGTCAAACATTCCCATATATGCTCCTAAACCTTGTGGATAGCCTTCCCAGAAGAGTTGAAGCTGTCATAGCTGTAAGGGAATGGTCAATTCATTAATGAACCCTACGGACCAAGACTGGGTTGCCATTAAAGTTCATGTGCGTGTAAAGGCAGGTGTCTCAATACTTTAGGCAATATATATTAACTATATTTAATACTTTTGTTCAATTTTTTAACAATTTGTTTGATGCAAGACTAACAGGACTAACATGTTTTAGAGAGAGATTTATACTGAATATTTTCATATGTATACTATATTTATATTATTTATATTACTTTTAAATATTGTCTCAAGATACACATGAAGTAACATAATGTTGAAATAGCGCATAGTAATATAGAAAAATCTCCACCTTTTTCTTCTGCAATTTTGCACAATCCTAATAAAGGTTAATTGGCCAGGTCCAAAAGTTACAAACTTGTTACTGTTGGGAATAACAAACACATAGGGGTTGATTTACTAAAACTGGAGCACTTAGAATCTGGTGCAGCTGTGCATGGTAGCCAATCAGCTTCTAACTTCAGCTTGTTCAGTTAGACTTTGGCAATAAAACCTGAAAGCTGATTGGTTTCTATGCAGAGCTGCACCAGATTTTGCACTTTCCAGTCTTAGTAAATCAATCCTATAGTGTTACACATAAGATACAATGTAACCGATCCAACATGCATCTAATAGCTGAGTTGTCACCAATAATCATTGGCTTTTCACAGCGCCAATCAAAAGTTTCAGCTGGATCAATCTTGATTTAAACCCAATTGTCAGATGTAGGGGCAGGTTATGACAAAAGGGAGTGTCCCTTTGAAACACGTTATTGCCCCCACTCACCACTTATCCATTGCAGTATCACGTAGAGTTCTCCACGAGGCTGTGCTTAGCACTGCAGGAAGCTGAGCTCCAGCGGCCTACTGACCAGGGCCGGTGCTAGACACTTTTGCACCTTAGGCAAGACCAACTACTTGCACACCCCCCCCCCCCAAAAAAAATAATAAAACTTCACCTGTAATTCTACCTTACCCCTCCTAGCACACATCCTCTTTCTCCTCAAAATTTCCACTCTAGCACAAATCCTCTCCCTCAAATCCCCCCATTCTAACATAAATCCTCCCCTCCGAGCTAAACCCCTTCCAATCCCCCCTCCTAGCACAACTCCCTTCCCCCAATTCTCCTTTCTTGCACAGACCCAACAAATTCCCTCCAATCCGCCCTCCTAGCACAAATCCCTACCCCCCAATCCTCCCTTCTAGCAAAACCCCCCAATCCCCTCTTCTAGCACGAATTCCCACCAAATCCCTTCTCGTAGTACAAATTTCCCCCAATCCCCCCTGAACACAAATAATTTCCCCAAATCCTCCCTCTTAACACAATTCCCCTTGCTTACACAAATTCCCCCTCCCAGCAATTCAATCACCCCACCTAGGACAGATTCCCCCAAATCCCTTCCCTAGCTAAAGTCCATTCAAATTGCCCTTCCCAGAATAAACATATCCCAGCTTACCCAAATCCCCCCCCCCCCCTTATTAGCACAAATCCCCCTAAACCTCCCTCATCATACTCCTAGCACATACTGTATCATCACATTCCTTCACCATATTCCTTCTCCTATCACTCCCCCCATCAATCCCCATTACCCTTCCCAGCACAAATAGCCCCCATCCCCCCCTCCTGCACAAACCTCCTATCTCAGCACAAATTCGTTTTACTCCCCTATTTCATACAGCAGATGACACAGGATCACTCTTGGATTGGGCTGTACACAGTTTCAAGACCTTGCCCCCTATCTCCTCCAATGATCGCATATCTCTCGGCAGCAGGGAGCCAGGAAATGAATCCAACACTAAACATGCTGATGTAAGAGCGGTCCTGAGTTATCTGCATTATGGAAGATCGTTCCACTGATTGGAGAGGAGAGCACAGCCTGCACCTCCCGACTCATCTCCTGTCATTTCTCCTTTGCAAGCTTCATTGCTCTAAGTTGCTCCCCCCTTGTCCTAGCCATGAGTGCGGGAATGGGGGTAGGCACTCAGTGACCAGGCACAGCATCCATGGAAAGACCGGCCTGGGGGGAATAACTGAAATCTAGGGGGTCGCAGCCCACCCCAGCACCTCCCAAGCTTCAGCCATGGCAGACAGTAGGGAAACCAGCAGCCGTGGTGCCCTAGGCAGCAGTGCACCCTAGGTGGCTACCTAGTTTGCCTAGTGCAGACAGCAGTAAGTATAAGATCTTTCTTATATCTTCTTAAGAGATACCAACTACTGCTGCAGGCACACAGGCTGATGGTGTTTATAGGTTATCCCTATGCTGATGTCAAGAGTTTTACATGTAGGAGTGCTATATTTTTATCTTCAGCCCCATGGTGCTGGCGCTTCCCGGTCCTTTAAGAGGTTTGTGACGCTGGTAGAAAGGATGGGGTTTAGGGTCTTGTGACCGCCGTGATTGGCTGTTATGACGGCCCCTTGATCAGAAAGCTCCTTTCCGTGAGGTGCCAGTAAATGTGATGGGAGCGCACAGGGCGCATGCTCTCGTCACATGGATACACAAATATGCGGCCCCTCAGCGTAAAGTAACAGGTTTGCTGCAGTGGCTAGGGCATCTTTTTTTCATATATATATATATATATATATATATATATATATATATATATGTAACGCCCTCTAGTGTAAGGTCTTTTTTGTATAGTTAGAGGCTTGCTAAAAGCCTGGGTATGAGTCAGCCTGGGAGTGAGTCAGCAAGATTACTTGAGGTTAAAGCTGAATGGCTCTACAGGTCAGTTCTCTGATACCTCCCCTTGCTCTAGAAACTTGGAGAATTTTCTAGAAGCCAGTGGGCCGTGGTCAGGAGGCGCTGATCTGCATACTTAGGGGAATTTGGTCAATCCCCAGGCAGGAGGCCTAACATGGTGGCTAGGTCAGCCCTTAAATATGAGAGAGCCTGGTCAGCAATGGGAGTCGGATGGAAGATGGAGTGAGGAAGTACTGCTGGTGTGGAGCCTGGGAGGGGGGGGTCTGCCTAAAGGCTGAAAGCTGGAAAGAAGGACCTCCACTGTCCCACAGTCTACCGAGGAAAGACAGCCTGTCAACAGGGAAGGAGCCAGCCCGGTGTAAGGCCTGAAAGCAGGTGCAACCTTTAAAGCTACAGGAAAAAGAAAACATGAGTACTTCTACACCCCTGGGTCAAAGAAGGGAGAGGGTGGTCAGGTGCAATACCCAACTAGTTCTCTCTGGGACTGCATTACCTGTGTTCCTCAGGAATCCCTTGACCTGGGATACTATCATGACAGCCAGATGGATGAGGAGATTTTCATCTGGGGTCTGAAGAGGTTCATTTAAGGGGACCAAGTGCTCCTTGCAAAGATTGTATGCTAATTTTTCAGAAGATAAGAGCCACCTCCTGAAGGAGTAGATAGCCTAGGATCTGTTCTTTCATGACCTTGATGGATTTTTGTGTGCCTAAGAATGTGTCCTCCAAGTTGTTTCAGTTCCATTGGGTATCTCATATACCTCTAGACACTATCCAAGTTTTTAACCCCCAATAAAACAACAAAAACCAAGCACATGGACTGTTTAATGATTGTGCATGCAAGTGTGGAGGATGCGTGTTGTCTGATTGCACAGCTTAGCGGGACCCAAAAGCTCAGTGGCACTGAAGAGGGTAGATATATATATATATATATATATATATATATATATATATATATATATATATATATATATATATATATATATTTTTAGTCACTAATGCAGTAGCCCAGAGGCACAGGCCAAAGAAAAAATGTGCACTACTCTGAGACACATCTGGCTTTAATTTGTGAATATATACTGTACATAGACCCCATTTTCACCTTACGCCCTCAAAGTGTTCTTGAGGTAAAGTGCTCTTAGTTCTCATGGGTGATGTTTCTTCACTTTATACTGTATAAGCTTTTGTTTTTCAATGCAGGAGAATATGTGTGACTGTTTTTTATTTTATTTGCTACAAGAACCAGACCCAGTCAAACATGTTTTTAATTTAAATGTCCTTTAGAGAAATAAACCACATTGTAATAATTTGCATGGCAGTGGATGATATATTATATATCATTAATAGGGATGAGCTGAACATACCTGCGTTTTATTCGAGGAGTGTTTGGTGAACTTTACTGAATGTTAGAAAAGAGCAGTGGCCATTTAAGCTGAGTAGTAAGGCAAAGTATTGGGTATTGTCAAACAAATGACATCGGGTGCACTGCATTGGGGAACACATGCCAAAGCAAACATTTTTTTTCACATTTAGTTTGATGGGAAGCAGCGATTTTAATAATGTGTAAAATTAAATCTTAAAATGCAGACTTCCTTTAAACAGTTTCAGGAAAAACTCTAATAAAATAAATTTTTGTGCAA